AGAATCGAACCTGGGACCCTTCAGTCCACAGGCCGATGCTCTATCCACTGAGCCAAACCGGTTAGGGCCCGAGGATATTTTTTTGCCATTGATTTTTAGGGAGAGTGGAAGGGTGGGGGAGAGACACAGAGAGAGACAGAGGAACATCGATGTGAGAGAGACACATCGATTGGTTGCCTCCCACTCATGCCCTGACCGGGGCCAGGGATCGAGCCCGCAACCAAGATATGTGCCCTTGACTGGAATCGAACCCGGGACCCTTCAGTCTGCAGGCCCATGCTCTAACCGCTGAGAAAACCGGCGGGGGCAGATGTGTCTTTCTCCATGGAGTGCATTCCATTTGGGCAAACACACCTTCTGCAGAGCCATGCTTAGCAGTGCTCCTGGCCTACTCCAGTGGGCTCCCTCCCCAGGACAACTGCAACCACGTTGTTTCACACACTCAATGGGATTTTGATGTTTAAAACGGAAGCCGAGCAAAAGGGCTTTACAGCATCATCATGTTGCCCTGACCGGTTTGGCTCAGTGGACAGAGCGTTGGCCTGCGGATTGAAGGGTCCCAGGTTCGATTCCGGTCAAGGGCATGTACCTTGGTTGCGGGCACATCCCCAGTAGGAGGTGTGCAGGAGGCAGCTGATCGATGTTTCTCTCTCATCGATGTTTCTAACTCTTTATCCCTCTCCCTTCCTCTCTGTAAAAAAATAAATAAAATATATTTTAAAGCATCATCGTGTTAACGGGATGAGTACAGAATTGGCAAGAACGGCAACCCAATGGATCACACTGCCTGGCCAGGCCTTGCCCGGCACCCATAACTATCTCTTTGCAACTAACAAGCTAAAAAACATCGCGCCAGGTCTGGGCTTCCGAGGCAAAGCGCTGGTTGGTTCTCAGCAGGAATGGGGGGAAGACGCAGTAACAGACCAGCTGTCAATCAGGCTGTTTCATGCGGGTTCCCTGGCCTGTTGGGGAACAAGGGCCATTGTTGAGAGGTCCAGGTGACTAAAGTCCAACATTTAAAAAACCAAAGTCGTGCCCTGCCAGTGTGGCTCAGTGGTTGAGCATCGACCTATGAACTAGGAGGTCAGGGTTCGATTCCCAGTCAGGGCACAGGCCCGGGCTGCAGGCTTGATCCCCAGTGTGGGGCGTGCAGGAGGCAGCCGATCCACGATTCACTATCATCATTGATGTTTCTATCTCTCCCTCTCCCTTCCTCTCTGAAATCAATACAAATATATTTTTAAAAAATTAAAAAACAACAACCCAAGTCCTGACAGTTTCACTGTTTTGGTTCAAAACCGATGTAAAGTCCACTCACGTTTCTTTACTTGATAAACAGGGTTTACTGACCCTGATCCTGGGGACTCGGGGTGTCTCTCTGAGCATCAGTCCTCCTGCTAAGCTGTCAGGACCACACTTTCTGCCAAAGCCCACCGAAGTGGGGGGTGGGGGGAGATAGAACCAGTTCATTTATCCACAACATCCGCACGATACAGGCCCGCGTGCTCACGTACCTGCACGTAGAGATATTCAAAAGCAACCGGGTCCCTCCGTAACAGGTCGATCGGATCCTTCGGCACGAAGCTGATTCGGAAAAGACACCTCATCTTGTGGGAGCTGGGCCGCTGTGTCACCTGGAAGAGCAGAGCGACCACAGGGATGCTCAGTGGGGACTGCGAACCGGCCGAGGGCCCCAGGAGCAGAGGCAACTTTCCTGGGACATCGAGGGAAGGGGCGGCCAAGTTCTTTCCGTGTCTGTCACAGGTGCTCATTCCCTGGAAACGCACCGAGCCTGGGACGTAGGTCCGGTGCCCCCCAAGAAGACCCTGAGAGGAGGGACTTGCTAAGGAACTGTCCCCAGGAGCAGCCAGCAAGGAGGCAGGGCAGGCAGGGGAGGATGGGGAGCCAGCCCATGGTCCCCAGGGGGGCTCAGCCACAGCCCGGCCCTTGGGGGGGTAACTTTGGGCACGGGGCCTGGGACAGCACAGACTGGTCCCTGGCTTGGGGCTGTGCCAGGGGGACGTGCATTGCAGTTTGGACAGAATGCGCGCTAGGAGGCTGTGAGCGCGGTCCCGCCCCAAGAGAAGATGCTCCATGTTGTCATGGCAACCAGAGCCAGGGTGGGGGCGGGAAGACAGTTTGGGCCTCTGCACTGAATCTGGAGTCAAGTTTCCAAACGACTGCCGACTTCTGATGCCGTGACTTCGTTCAAATCAAATCACGCCATGTTGCTTGGAATCCAACACAGTCCCTCAGGGTCAGGGACGTGGCTCATTCGGATTCGCTGTCCTTCCCTGCCAGCGCGGTATGTGCAACTACTACGTGCTGCTGCTGACCTCCTCTGGCAACAAAGGCGATCAGTGGGGGATAGTAGGTGCTTAGCACACAGGTGAATGAACGAAAAGACACTGGACTCCAAGAAAGAGGGGAAAAGCCCTTCCATGTCCCCGAAAGAGGCCAACACGACACACGTAAGGCCGGGCAGCCCCAGCCAGCACAGCTGTTCTGCCTGCAGTTTTATGCGCTCGTATGTACTCTCTATGCATGTGTATGCGGTTTCATGGACTTGTGACTACTTTTATGCGGGGAACAAATCTGGAAAAGCAAGAATGTTTGTGAACTGCCACTTAGAAATTCAAAATAAATACGGCAGTAGCTTTACTGAGCCTCATGGCATGTGTGTGTGCATGTGTGTGTGCATGTGTGTGTGTGTGTGTGCACGACAGTTTACATGTCGAGTAGAATTTTAATGGGACAACACACCCTGCTTTGAAAGGTGACCGGGCACCGTGGCAGGTAGTGACACGGACCCAGCTTCATGGCTGCGGGCAGGATGGAGACCGAGGGCCGTGGGCCATCGTCCCTGCCGGGTGGTAAAGGAACACAGAAACGACAGCAGGAACCCAAGAGCCTCCAGTTCCCTCCTCAAGGAACTCTCCTACACGCGAGCAATGGCTTGAAATCCCTCATACAGACAAGCCAGGGTGTGGGGCTGGAGGTAGTAGCCAAGCAGCCGGCTCGCCTCCCCAGAGAACAGATGGGGCGGCATGGTGGCCACCAGGAACTGGGGCGCAGCGCTGGATCCCATGTTCACAGTGGGCAGGGCTGGGGCAGGGACTCGAGGCTCCCAAAAAGAGCCTGCGGTACACACCCAGCGCCTAAAGCCACGCATCCGATTGCGCCTGAACTTAAAGGACCTCGGAGGCCATTTCCTTTCATAGTTTCAGGAGGCCAGTGATGGAAACAGGGACCAGTCGTTCTAACGACAGAAAAGGGAATTGTCCAGAGCCGCGTTCTCAGCGAGTGGCTGCCGAGGCTGTGAATGACAAATCTGTTTCTCAGGTGAACTGACAGTCTATGGACAATGACAGAAAGGGAAACATCACCTGGAGGCATAAAATCTATTATTAACGCCAACGCTTCCCTTAGTGCGGCTGCCCAGCGATGCCGTGAACACATTGAAAGCATCTGCGGGCAGGAGGACGCTGGGTGGGAGGGA